GCCTCCTGCACCGGGCAGTTCCAGGTCACGGTCCTCGACGCCGCCAAGGCCTCGTCCCGCTGGCGCGCGAGCGGGCACTGGCGGCTGCGAGGCTGGGATCTATCCATGTTCCCCGCCCTGGGAATCACCGACCTTCCTGGGAACCCCTGGGAGTTCCACCCCGCCCAGGAGTTTGTGTGGTCGTGCCATCGGCGGCCTGTCGCCGATCTATCGGCGGTATATCGCCGGTTCCAGCTCGAAGTTTTTCCCCCTTGAGCCAGTTCCTTTTTCCCAACGCTTCCCGTCAGCCGCAAAAGAAAAAGTCGCGACACGCGTCTTTTGACCTCGACCTCGCGGCGTCCGATCCACGCCGGCCTCGCGGCCTCGGAGTTATGGGGTCGGGAGGGCTCCTTAGGCCCGCGTCGAGCTGCGGCGCGAGGAAAACGAACACGAATTTGGTGGAGGGCACCCCTGGAAACAGCGTCCTCCGAGACGGCTGTTTTTTATTGGTTCTCGCCTTTGGAAGACGTTTCCTGGGCCCCAAGGCCGTCAAACAACAATTCAGGATGAACAGCCGGCTCCGGGGAAGGGGTCGAGTTTCTTGCAAAGGCGCACGTCCCGAACAAGACGTTGCGTGCGAGGAGAGGGTCTGTCCGGCCATGACGCCTCGCTGCGCGACTGCACCAGGCGCGCGCCCGCGTCCCTGGGGCGGCCCGCAGAAACGCGGAGGTCAGTGGCACTCGGCCCTTTGCTGGCGCCGCGGAGGGAGGTCCGCGAAAGGCGCATGAGTCGGCGCGCCGGAGGTAGTTGGGGGCGAGGGTACGTCGAGTTCACAGAAGATTTTGGCTCATGAATGAACGATGTCGGTTCGAGGCTCGAGGTTTCCGGACGTTTTCGTTTGTTCTCGGTGGTTTTGCAGGCTCGGCATGTTTTCCAGCAGCTGCGCCTCGCCGAGAGCGTTCCGATGGTACCAGCATCGTCCCGAACGGCCGCCGGAGAGCCAAGTTCTGACCCGACTCAGGAAAGGAAAGCTTCGACCTCCGATCGACCATGCCTCGCCCCTGGGGGCTCGGGGGCCCCAACCTGCCCATGGACGTTGGGTGTCTCTTTCCGGGACCCATCGCCAATGTGTTGGCGATGTATCGCCGATTTCAGGTCAGATCTTGCCCCTTTTGAAGCCGACTTGTTGTCGGTGTCGCCGCGGACGTTGTCCACTTGAGGCAACAAATCGCCTGCCCAACAGCGGCCACTGTCGTTTTTGGACAACGTCAGCTGCCAGGCATAATGTTCTTCTGTATGTGCCCATTTCGGGCTTGCCAAGAGGCGGGGTCGATGTGCCGAACACGATCAGGACGTCGCGGTGTGGGGCGCGGCAGCATGTGTTAAGGAACAGAGATATTTGCCGTGGCGCTATCACTAGTGTCAGGGCCGAACGAATCCGGCCCCAACAACACAAACCGCAATTCCGGTCTGAACGTACAAACCCAGTTCCAGTCTCATCTAGGCTCGTAAGTAAAGCCGGTCCGGCTTGCCCGCGAGTTCAGTTTTGATATTAAGTGCATTCGAGCATCGCCAATTTGATTCCACATGCCCCTGAACATGCGCCGCAACGCCAGCCTCAGCGAATTTCCAACGAAACACGATTGAGTAACTAGTGATCATGGTTCGCCGGCGTTTCGAACTGGCTCTATAGATTTCGAGGGGGTGTTCTTGTTCGATGCCCCAATGGACCGCTCCCAGGGTGTGTTCCGGCCAGGGTTCCGAGGCAGTTCCAGCCGTGGCGACCAGCGCCTTCCAGGAGGCTTAAACAAGCGGGCGCGAGGGGAGGGGATCGATGTTGGTAACCTCAGGAGGTACTTAGTTTCCCAGTTTCCCCCCCCCACTCCCTGTTTCTCTCGGCAGGGGATTGTAAACTCGCCCCCCCTCCTCCTGCTCGTCCTCCTCATGGGGCCCTCATGGGCTCAAGGCGCTCCGAGCCTCAGACGGCTCATGTGAGCTAGGGCCTGGGCCTCTCAGGTTCCAGGGCTTCCTGTGGGTTCCATGCGGGCAAGAGCACTCATGGGCTTAAGGAGCTCCGAGCCTGAGACGGCTCATGTCAGCGAGGCTCATGTCAGCGAGGACTTGGGGCCTCTCCAAGAGTTCGTTGCGCAGCCGTAGTCGTAGTCGTCGGAGTAATAGCAATAGCAAGAGTAATAGTATTCGCAAACGTGGTACTATGTTGTCAATCGTAAGAATCATAGTAATCTCGGTAGTAATAACAATTGCAATGGTACGAGTAGTAGAAATAATATTAGTGATAGCGGCAGTGACAGTGAAAATGTGAGTAATAGTAAGAGTACTCGTACTCGTAAGACTAAACTTCAGAGTAATAGTAATAGTAGAGAATTTGCAATCGTAGTAGTACGGTGGGACCTCCTTTCCGTCAATGCGGTCGCCGAATATACCATTAGTTTCCACCGATTGGGGGTGGGTTTAACATCTCGTTCGTGGTTATACAGATATCTCTCTTCCGAACGTGGCTCCCAGGCGCGCAACAAATATTGGCGATTGTTTGTGTTCGAGGACATCTAAAAAGAACTTCTCGCCGCCACGGCTGTGTCCCCTAGAATTCCTGGCCAATGCGCGCCCCAGGATAGGGCCAGAGTCTGATCTGTGAGTGACGACAAGGAGGGAGAGGATGATGATGATGATGAGGAGGAGGAGGAGCAGGAGGATTTACAAGCAGACCCGGCCACCCTACAAGCATACGAAGCATTTCTGATACACCCGATGGCCCCAGTCCTGCGTCGACAACGAAATGCGCAGAGCAGTGACGGCGATCTGGATGAAATGTCATGGGCGGTCGCGGCGATCAGAAGCAGTCACGACTCCGCGTCAAGGGAGTCTCGGGAAGAGAGGGAGTGGGAGGAGGGCCGAGCACCCGCGAGTGTGGCACCACGCATGCGGGTGCTGCCGCGGACACAGGCGAGCCACAAGGTTGGGGAGGATGGATACGCCCCGCCCCACGATCGGGGTGGACGAATCGGAGGAGGGAGAACAAACGCGACCACCACCAAGGGTGTCCACGGTTTGGTCGGTTTGGCTGCGCCGAGGTCGGTTGCGTTCGGCCGCTTCGGCTCTGTCGTTCGCGTGTTGTTGTTGTTGTTGTTGTTGTTGTTGTTGTTGTTGTTGTTGTTGTTGTTGTTGTTGTTGTTGTTGTTGTTGCGTCGTTGCGTCGTTCTAAGTTGCGTTCGCTCGAGTCGGTTTCGGTGGGGTTCGGTTTCGGTGTCTCTCGTTTTGGTGTCGCCGTGGGCGGCCTTGACCACCAGCGGGCCATCTCCAGAGACAGGTTCCACGATGCCTCCCCGAGCTGAACATTGGAAACATGAGACGCCCCGAGACTGGGGGACCATACCACCGCGAGGCCCCCCCCCCAGGTCTGACCCCTGGTGGAGGTGGTGCCGTATTGCCCGGCCCCTTGATGAACTGGGGGGGGATGGGCAAGGGGTGGCGACGAAAGATGCTGCGTGAAGCTGGCTTCGGCTCCGCCTCCGATCGGAGGGCACCAACTATACACCAACACCGATCCTGGCCCAGGATCACCCTGGGCCCAGGATCGGTGTATATGCCTTCTTGCGCAGGGCAGGAGGGCGTATACACCGATCCTGGGCCCAGGGTGATCCTGGCCGGGATCGGTGTTGGTGTATAGTTGGTGCCTTCCGCCTCCGAGCAGGTGCCCCGATGAATGGTCGCCTCGGGCGTCGGGAGAACCAGCCGCCGGGCAGTTGATCCGCCTGCGCTGCCGCGCGAAGCCGCCACCGCGCTCGGGGGCGGGCGCCCAGGGGTGTGGGAGGCAGGGCGGCGGCGCTGGTGGGGGGGGACGCTCGGGGCCAGGTGCCATGGAGGGGTGTTTAATAATCTCGGGTCGGGCGAAAGGGGGGGATTGGGAAAGGGGGGGGTACGAAATTTGCTGCATGCAGCTGGTTTCGGCCTCACCGAGGGGCCCATTCCTCGATACATAGCGCCTCCCGGCGCCGGGAGGCGCCGGGAAAATCAGCTACGTGAGCTGATTCTCAAACCCCCCCTTTGCTATCCCCCCCTTTCGCCCGACCCGAGTTTAATAATCGCTTCCTTCATGCCGGCGGCCCACATTGCCTCGCCGCTGTCGTCTGTCGGGGTGCTGTTGTCCATGCGGTGCGGTTGGGCGGCTGCCATTTTTCGGAGGCGCTGGGTGGTGGGGCAGAGGCCTCATGGGTGTTGGTTGGGCTCTCGTGGCTGGCCTCTCGGGGACCTCTGAGAGGCAGTTTTGAGGCCTCTTGGGGGCCGTGTTGGGTCCTCTTGGGGCTTCTTTGGGGCCTCTTGGGGCTTCTTGGGGTGCCTCTTGGGGGACCCTTGGGGCCTCTTGGGTGCCTCTTGGGGCCTTCTGGGGGCCTCTTGGGGCTGACGGTTGGACTTTTCGGTTCATGGTCTCCTTCTCGGGCCCCTCTTAGGGCCGTTTTGGAGCCCTCTTGGGCCGTCTTGGGCGCCTCTTGGGCCGTCTTGGGGCCATCTTGAGACGTCGTGGGGGGGGGCGCTCGGGGCCAGGTGCCATGGCGGGTTGCTGCCCGCCAGGCACCTGGCCCCGGCGTCTGAGGGAAGTGTCAAACAAGGGAACGCATGGTGGACCTGCTTCGATGGCTTCGCAATAAGTGAATCGGGGGTGGGCAGAACCCCCAACAGTGACACGTCGATTAGTGAATTGTCCGTTTTCGGTTCTCGAGAGGGCGCTGTGGCCGCTATTTTCCAGGCATGCGCCCGCCAGGTTTGGGCCCCAGGTCGTTTTCACTAAACCACGTTTCACTAAAGGGGGGTCTGTCCATCCCCGAGTGAACTTTACAGGAAGAGCAAGGGCCCGCCACACACCAGCCGCCCACCGCCTCTGCTGCCCCCCCCCTTGCCCACCCTCACTTGAGAGTTGGCGCCCACAGCCGCCCGGGGAGGCTCGGGCCGGGCGAAAGGGGGGGATTGGGAAAGGGGGGGGTACGAAATCTGCCGCATGCAGCTGGTTTCGGCCCCACCGAGGGGCCCATTCCTCGATGCATGGGCGCCTCCGGCGCCGGGAGGCGCCGGGAAAATCAGCTACGTGAGCTGATTCTCAACCCCCCCCTATGCTATCCCCCCCTTTCGCCCGACCCGAGAGGCCGACCTGGTGAGCTTCAAGCTGAATCAGCAGAGCCAGGCGTTCAAGTACAAGGCGCACGGCGGCGGCCAGGGCGTCCGGCGGCGGAGGGGGAGGGCGAGCAGCGGAGGGAGGTGGTCAGGGGTGGGGCGATGGTCGAGCATGGAGAATCAACGTGGACGGCCTTTGGGACGGGAGGCAGGGGAGGAGGGGTAGGTCAGAGCCCCGAATCATCAGGGGTAACTCGGGTCAGGGCTAACTCGGGTTCGTTTTTCGGGAATCCGAACCCGACTTACCCCGGACCCGAGTTACCCCGGATAATTCGGGCGTCCAGAGCCCCGAATCATCAGGGGTAACTCGGGTCAGGGGTAACTCGGGTTCCTTTTTCGGGAAGCCAAACCCGAGTTACCCCGGACCCGAGTTACCCCGGATAACTCGGGCGCCCAAGTAGGGGGGGGAGGTGGGGAGGCGGAGAGGAGTTCGAGGATCGAGCAAGGAGGGCCTGTGCACGCGTTCTGGGGGAGTCGAGCAGGGGAGTGGCGGCGGGGTGGGGGGGTAGATTTTGAGCCCTCGTGTTCACCCTCGTCGTCGGAAGTCGCGCCGAAACGCACCAGCCCTGCGCAGGAGGCAGAAGGCGAGATGTCGGACGAAGAGGCGGATGATGTAGTGGATGGCCAGGAGGGGTCTGTCCAGAAGGCGGATGAGGAGGTTGAGGAGGACGATCGGAAAGAGGGGAGATGAGTGGGACGAGAATCACCAGGATGACACGAGGAGATCTGAAGGGTGGACAGATTGAGGGGAAGGAGGAGGAGGATGAATATGTAGAGCCAGAAGCAGGACGATGATAGGATGGGTGTAGAGAAGAGGATGGGTGAGGGATGGAAGGGGTAGATAGGTGCAGGGGAGGGAGAGGGGCGAGCAATGAGGGGGGTGGGCGGCGGATATGAGGGGGAACACGCAGGGAAGAGGACGGATAAGGGGGGAGAGGGCGGGGAAGCAGTTGGGGAGCAGGTGGAAGATCTGGCAGAGAGCGGATGGATTGACGCAGATGCAGGTGCACCCAAACTTGAACAAGGCCTCCTACTCCAACAACGCGCTGGAGGTGAGAGACAATACCAAGGCCCGCCCCTCCCGTCGCAGGGCCACGCCGTCTTCGAGCGGCGGACGGCCGCCGGATTGTGTGTTGAGGATGAGAGTGCAACGTGGTAGGGTTGAGGAGGACGAGGAGGAGAGAGGAGGAGGAGGAGGGAGGAGGAGGAGGAGGGTGGAGGAGGAGAAGTTGGGAACGGGAGGGGGGAGGGGGGGAGGACGAGGGCGAGGACGAGGAAGAGCAGGACGACCAGCAGGAGAGGAGGAGGAAGAGGAGGAGGAGGAGGAGGAGGACCAGTGCAAGCCCAAGACGCATCAACGTTGTTACAATGGCCCCTCCGTCCATGGTCCTGACCATAGGTCCCTACAATAATTTATTTACGTTGCGAGAAGTGCGCAATTTGAAGACAGTCCTTTGATAATCCGCAATCGTGTCAAAACGCAATTCCTGGCACTCCAATGCCGACACTCGGTGTGCCTGTTGCGTCTTGGCAATCCTAAAATGTATTGAAAGCGAGTCAGCGTGACCGTTGTGTCCTGATAATCCCAGTGATCGGGCCATAACACCATTCTTGCCACATTGTCCATACGGATCCGTGAAACGGTATGTGCGCGGCCATGAAACGAGAGCCACATGTTGACAAGACACCATCCTCTATAATTCAATCGGCTGCAAACGTTTAAAACGAATGTGCGCGGTGGTTGGACGAGAGGGGCATTTGGAAATCCATACGCCATCCGTCCTTGAAGTTGCTGCACTGGTTTGAAACAAAGAAAGAATGCATGCGCGCGGCGCTAAGCCGCTCCGGCGAGAGCTACATTTTGAAAACCACTCGCCCTCCATCTTTCAACCGGTTGCACTTTTTCAACACGAGTGTTGAGGCGAGTACCACATGTTGAACATGGTCCGCCATCCATCTTTGAAACCGTTGCAGATTTCAGTATCTAGCATCATACATGGTGAGGAAGTCTCAGGCGAAACGCTTTGCCCGCCTGACTGACACGCCTTGGGTTACAATATGGAAGAGTTACTGTATGAGGACACGGGGTGGAGGACGAGGAGGTATCAGGAGGAGGGAGGGGAAAAAAGGGGGGACGAGGAATGGAAAGGAGGAGGCGGAGAACGAGGAGGAGGAGGAAGAGGAGGGAGGAGGAGGAGTTCTATTGGGACTTGGGGGAGAGCCAGAGAGGTCCCGAGCGGCCTGGCTCCGAGCGCCAGGCCTTCCGCGCCAACCAGCCGGCGCCGCTCCTCAAGTGGCAAATGAAGAGTTCCGACGAGGCGGCCGCGCGGACCCCTGCCTTCTCTGGGCCTCAGGGCCTAGCTCTTGTCAGTTTTCGGACTCCTGGGCACTCCCTGGGCTCCGGGATGGGAACAGGGCCGCTCCGGATTGAGAGCTGGTCCCAGGGGAAGGCCCAGCGGTCCAGGACCCGTGTCCCTCAAGGCCCGTCCGGCGCCGCCTTTGGCGCGCTCGGCGGCGCTTGAGAGAGGTTGGTAGGGCTCCACTTACCGACGCTGCTGGGCGAAAGTCCAACCAACGGTTTCCCGTGCTATTCGGGGGGACGCACGCGCTCACCTCCAACTGGCGTTGGATGTTTTGTGCCAGAGCCACGACACATCACTTTGATATGATAGCACGATGTGACTATAACATCATGTTGGCAGCAGCAATGCACACACTCATTAGGACGTTGCCCTCATCAAGGTCCCACCCTAACAAACCACACTCATCCATAACACAAGCATCCATAACACAACACACTGCGAGGAAGTATCGGGCGGGAGCCGTTGTTATTGTACTCGATGAGGTCCTCTTGTGTATCGAGTCTTGGGGCCCCAGAAGTCTACGCCAGAGATGTTGTATATAGGTTCCGTAGCCATTTGAATTCAAGCAGGGACGTCGATTCTTTGGATATATGAGGAGCCCCATGAGCCCACTGCGGCTGACAGTGATTCATTCGATGGCGACCAGAGGAATACTCGACTAAGCGGCTCACGCTCTGGCCGCCTACACGAGGAGTTGGAATACATAGGCTTGGTCACTATGTATATGAAATGTGCGACTGCGGCTGTCGCAGGCTTCACGGTTGTTGAGCGTATGCAGGGACAGTGCGATGATGTGGTTTTGATTTATGTTGGAATCGGTGTGTGGGAGATACTGTCAGCCAGCGATGTTGCGGACAACGCTGGCAAGTTCAACGCTTTGCCTCGGTTCACGGATTTTATCAGCGCTTCGTTTCGCATGCCATCGCGAATGTTTGGGGCGCTGTGGGCTATCAACTAACGGATGTGGCTTGCTTTTACATGAAGTGCGTGTACCCGACGGTTGTGTTGTTATGTGTCGCGTTTTCCCCGCATCCAAAGTGGGGTTCGTGTTTTCTCTGGACACCCCGCGCAGGAACCTCCTCACCTCACCCCGTCTCCTCTTCTGTCTTCGTGCGCTCACTCACTCACTCACTCACTAGCTCACTCACTTAGTCACTCAGTCACCCACTCACTCATTCACTCACTCACTGACTCATCAGCACTCACTCACTCACACGCTCATGAACTCACATATGATGATGATGATGATGATTGTGCGCGTGAGAGAGTGTGATGATCATCATCATCACCAATCAGTCAGTCACTCACTCACTCACTCACTCGCCTTGGGCTTCGTCTGTGAGTGAATTGCGAGGAAGTCTCAAGCGGGAACCCCCTCCCTATGGGGCCCGCGGATCATGTTACTAATCCGAGCGGGTCATCCAATTCCTGCAACTGTCGCCACGTTTGGGCTCTCGCGCTGCCAGAACGCCATTCCCAGGCCACATTTGTGAGTGAATTGCGAGGGGATCTCAAGCGGGAGCTCCCTCCCTGTGGGGCCCGCGGGTCATGTTATTAATCCGAGCGGGTCAATCAATTCTTGTAGCTGGTGCCATTTTTGGGTTCTCGGGCTGCCAGAACGCCATTCCCAGGCCACATTTGAATGCCCGGAGCCTTTTGTATGCCATTTCGTGTTTTTCGTGGTCCCAGAACACCACTCCCGGGCCACATTTTGAATGCCCGGAGCCACCTGTAGGCCACTTCGTGTTCTTCGTGTTCCCAGAACACCACTCCCGGGCCACTTTCTAAATGTCCGGAGCCAAAACATCATAGTGGCTCTTTCTTTGGAGACGAAAAGGGTCGCGCGCCGAAATCCATTCCAGACGAAATTGAGGTTTTTCCTAAAGTTTCAGTGTGCAGGCGCGCCCTGCCGCGCGGTGGTTTGCAGGCGCACCTTAGAGCGTGCTGACGCATAATGCAAGGCATTCGTATTGCACGTTGGGCATGCTATCGCGTGCAAATCACGCATGGCTTGAGCTACTTCGCAGACGCTTTCTGGCGAGGGGTTTCGAGGGCCCTCTCAGGGCCCGTTGGGGTCGCCGAGTGCCGAGAGCTCCCGGCAACCATTGCCGACTGTTGGCAAAGGCAACGTCGCCGAAATGGCAGCCGACAGAGCCCTCGAAAGGGCCGCCGGGATTGCCGCGGAAGGGGCCGCCGAAAGAGCCGTCGGGAGGGCCGCCCGAATTGCTGCCGAAATTGCCGCCGAAATTGCCACCGAAATCGCGGCCGAAATTGCCGCCGAAATTGCCGCCGAAATTGCCGCCGAAATTTCCGCCGAAATTCCAGATGGCTCCGCCGAAAAGAAGCCGAATTTGACTATGGCTGTGACTCTATGCCTGTGTCTGCGGCGTCATCGTGCTTACTGGAACAGCGATTTCGCATGCGACGGGGCAGTGACAATTTCGGCGGCTGAATTTCGGCGGCGATTTCGGCGGCTGAATTCCGGCGGCTATTTTGGCGGAGTTCGCAATTATTTCGGCGGCAATTTCGGCGGTGATTTCGGCCGCGAGTTCGGTAGCAATTTCGGCGGCAATTTCGGCGGCAATTTCGGCGGCGATTTCGGCGGCAATTTTGGCGGCAATTTCGGCGGGGATTTCGGCGACGATTTGGGCTGCCCTTTCGGCGGCCCTCCTTGCGGCCCTTTCAAAGACCATTTCGGCGGTTTTGCTTTTGACAGCTGCCGACGAATGCTGCTGGGAGCTCGCAGCGCTCAGCTGCGGCAAAGAGTCGATGTGCGGCGACGCAGGCTCACCTGACCTCAGCCCGACGATGATTGTAGCATGTGTTATCTTGTGGTTTTGGCGTTGATGATGGCGACGGCCGCGGTAGCGTTTGGTTCAACATGGATGCTCGTCAGGGGGCATTGCATGCAGGCTGGCCTACGCGCCCAGCACTGCATGCTTTCAAACAAGAAAAATTTGCCGCGCAACTCCTTCGGAATTCGGCGGCTATTTGGGGGGCCATGGTGGCTCCAAAGGGTTGTCCTCGGTGAAAAACAGGAGGGCGACGTCGGGGGCAACGTGGGGAGCGGGGGGGGGGCCCGCGCCAGGGCGAGAAGAACTATACGCAGAAGGGACAGCCAGGACGCCTCACCAACCACGAGGACGACGGTGAGGGCTTTCTTCAGATTCGCCCAGAGGGTTCTCATGTGGGGTCTTTCCGTCGGAGTATTTTTTGCGACAAGCTGGTTCGCAACCTAATTGATGGTGGAACGGCTTCCTTGAGGAAAATATTGAGCACGTGGGCTGATCATGTCGCGCATCGCCCGTTGGCGTGGACATGCCAGGAAATATACGTTGGAACAGAGTTTGCCACATTGATCGTTCCAGGCCGGCCCTACTTGACATTGGTTTCCCTCGCGCCTGTCATCAGCATCAAGAAACATTCTCTCTTGATGGGCCCTGCTATGTCAACCGCGAAGAAGCACGTGGATGCCATGCGTGATTTCTCTTCGGCCGTTGTGCGCATATCAACTGGTGATGGCGAGCAAGAACATGCTGTTGGCCCGAGGGGTGCTCGACGTGGATTGGAATCACTCCCAGTGGAGTTCATCATCGATTACCTCGATGCGACACGATACTTGAAAAGGTTTACGATTGGCTGACACATGCAAGAAGGCCTGGGCGAAGGCGCTGGCTCGGCACAATCAGTCTTCGGGCGACGAATTGGTCAGGCATTACGTGCCCATCAGTTATGGCGTCTTGAGACGTTGTCGTTGGAGGCTCGATGTTGTTTGTATGCTGTCGTTGCGACGCTGCGTTCAAACCAATGTGAGCCTGGCGCGCTTTTATCCGCACACTGACGGGTCACCCCAATGGAGGGGAGTAGAGCTTTCCGCCACCTTGGTTGTTTGTGTCGGTAGACAGTCGGGCGAACGGATTTGTTATCGGCACCTCGTGCCCATTCTGCGCATGGGTGGTCAACGCCTCAGTTTGCACGGGAAGCTGCGCGGTTTGCGATGGAAGTTTGTGCTGTGTGTCGGGCCGCCGTTTGTATCGTTCAGGCAGGTGTTGGCATGGGTTGCATCGGTGGCGTCGGATATCGGCACTGAGAGGTTGTTCGGTAATGCAGAATACATCTTGCCATTATTCTGCAAACGAGTGGGCGCGGCAATACCGCCGGGCGCGCCCATGCAGACGCGCTTGTTGCCGTGCGCCGTGCAAGCACCAGGTTGGATGCACATATTCGACGCTCTCATTCGGGGGGCTTTGTGGAGCGTGGGCTGGTTCCCGCCTTGTTGGGCGGCATCAAAGCTGCGCTCGCACTCCCGTGGCAGTGCAGCGTCGAGTTCGCCAGGGGCTTCAGGGGGGCCGGTTTTCTAGCCGTCGCTGAGATCGCGCAAGCATTGCCTTTGCCGCGCTTTGCGCAGTGGCGGCGAGGTGCGCTCCACAACGCGCGCAGATCGATTAAGGGTGTCATCGGCATTTTGCAAAGACATTGGGGGCGCATGACATTTCTCAAGAAAGTCAGGGACACTTCGTTGATCCGGAAGCTTCTGAAGGCGATTGATGACCAACGCTGGGTGGATCTTTTCGCTTCGTGGCTCGTGGAATGGCTCGCTCATTTGCAGTCGTGGGGCGGAAGTTGCATCTGTCACCAGGCCGACTGCGAGGTTGGGAACCCAGCGGGGTGCAAGAAACAGGGTTGACTTTTTCTTTGCGCCGGCGATAAGGCTCAATGTGCGTTGCAGGACCGCTCGTGCTGCCGCTGCCAAGACGCACGCGTTGTCGTTCGCCTGTGTCTTTCCCCCCTTTCATCCCGCTTGTGCTTCTCATCGCATTCCGCCCCGTTTCCCTTGAGCATCTTTTTCCTTTCTATACCCCGCGCAGCGTTCGTTTTCATCGTCGCCCGGGGGAGGGGGCCAGGGCGCCCAATGCCGTTGACTTCGTAGATTTGTCAATCGAGCAGCGCCGGCG